TTGATTTAAAAATCGGGACGTCCCGCCAAAATCGGGACGTCTGGCAACGCTGCCTCCCACGTACTCACGACTCTCCCCTACTGCCCGATATAACGCCCGCGGTTAGGCTCTTCGTGACTGCGGCACCAAACAACGTTATCCGAAATGTCTAATGTTTCCATCCTTCCCACGCAACTAAACAAAACAAAACACTAATAGACATTATTAAAGTAACCTTACACATTTTCAAGATCGCAATTATTCCAAGTAGGTCATCCGGTACGTGCGAATTATCGACATGGTCGGATCGCATTAACATAAAACACGTTTTTATCTTTGTAAAAAATGTTCTTAGTGAAAATACGTGCAGTTTCTTAACAATAGAGCCTAACCAATATAAAAATAAATATTGCCACATCTGTAGGTAATTTAATTAATAATATTATTTAATTTTATGTTTTATGTGCCTTGTTAGATGTATTAATTACTGGCATCGTTTGCAGTGTTTTAGATGTAAATTTACCTGAAATACTAATTAAATGCTCAATCTTTTTAAAAATTCCAGACAGCGAAAGCGGCGTTCGAGGCCGTGGGATGCGTTCTAGAGGCCGACCTTCACGAAGATCACACAATTACATGAGGTTTTAGATTTAACTTTGTATGTCAAACAATATTATTTTCCTATTATTATGATATATCGAGAATACATTTTGATGATTCGTAATAAAAGTATGATTGCTTCTAATCCAGATGGACATAATTTTGTGGTATTAGGAGATTGAAAAACTACTGTATTTAGTTTATGTGTAAGCATTTAAAGTATCATTCATTTAACAGTCCTAAATAAACACATAATTACTTATTTATTCAATTACATAACATGTTTATGTTAAGGAATTGGTTATTAAAACAACATTTTACTACTTGTTTATGGTGACCAACCAATATTATTTTTATATTTCGAAACAATTTTGTAACTTCAGGAATGAAACAAATTTTAGTTAATTATCTATCTATAGTCTTACTATTGTAATTTTCAAATATGTCTAATTCAAAGCGTTTAGTGCCAAATTATGTTCATTTAGACATTTAAAATAATACTTCAACATTTAATAATGTATGTATCAAATAAAACTATTGAATATCTCTTTATGACAAAGCTACTATTCATTTACAGCCCGGTCGGTAAAGTAATAGGTGTGTCGCTTAGTTGGATAGATCTTTTTTGTGATTATCAATATAATTAATCGAATAATTTTGGATTATACTTTGTGAAAGGTCAAGTGAGGCGAATTGTTCGCCGTATACGGCTATTAAATCTACTTTCAAAAATACGATATTTTCCCTTGTGTATCGAAATACGTATTTTTTGCACCAGGCTGTATTTTCATGTAGTCTTAATATTATGTTATGTTAGTAACTTAAGTAAATTGTTTAATAAAAAAATGCATCAGGAAGTAGGGTAAACCACCCAATTATTGGCACTTTAAGCAGCTACTTCACAAAACCGGTAAAATTTACATGTAAAATTATGTTTAATCAAACATAAAAACATTTATATTGGTCTTTTAATCTTTGCAGAATATTATAAAGTACTTATCATTAATAAATTAAATCATTTATTCAATATAGTGTACCTTTTAAAAAAATACCTCAAAATACCAGTTGTTGGCATAGCCAAACCTTTTATTGGCAGTGATAATTACCTATTATTGGCACTGTTCTCGCAAGACTGAAAAATTGCTGCTAGGTCTTATTTAGAGGTTTTAAAGAGATTCATGATAGAAATAAACAAAATAAAATCCTTTGTTTAAAGAAAAGTAACATTTTTTTTGTATAGGAACATACCATATCAGTTCAAACGCTTATATTTAAATATGGTTTTAAACTTTCCATAACCACTTTTATCAAATCTTCTTTTCTCTTCGGAAATCCTTTTTTGCTACTGATTTTTATGTTATCCAGTCAACAAAAAGCTGTTCTTTCTCGTCAGTTAAAACTGTGAACGGACCGGTCTTAGAGCGATGATCAGGATGTTTCAATCTGAATTATAGTAGACCGTGGCACCACTTTCAAAGCCTTTCACAGGCTTATTCCACTAATCCCCGTCAACGGGGATTAGTGAACTTTTTATTCATTAATCCCCGCTAACGTCAATGGAGCTTATAATGGGAATTAATGAACTAAAAAGTTCATTAATCCCCATTACTTTATTTTATTTTTCTTTATTCAGAAAACTACGTTAAAAATAAAATACTAATGTAAGAATCATGTACCTTCTATTTATTATTGGATAACAACGCACTTATTGATTATTTTTATAATCAAATTAAATTAAATTTAAGCCTGATTACAAAGCTATTAATTTACACCATTTTTATCTTGTTACATTTTGGGCCAAATTTGTATGTAATACTTTCCATCTTCTTTTAAATTATGAATGGGGAATAACTATTCAATATCCATAGTGCTTTTGGTTATCAGGTAAGTGTTAATTTTTTTTAAGTATTGTAATCAGTCTTAAATTTAATTTAATTTGATAATAAAAATAATAAGTGAGTTCTTATCCAATAATAAATAGAAGGTACCTGATTCTTACATTAGTATTTTATTTTTAACGTACTGGGGATTAATCAACTTTTTAGTTCATTAATCACCATTATAAACTCCATTGGCGTTAACGGGGATTAATGAACAAAAAGTTCACTAATCCCGTTGACAGGGATTGTCAACGGGGATTAGTGGAATAAGACTTTGAAAGGCTTTGAAAGTGGCTAAAAAGATAATATTTTTTATTGGCACCTTTTTAACCAATGTTTGACACCCGTGCCAATAAATGGATTTTATATAATTGGCAGTGGGCCAACAATTGGATTGGTATATCCAAAACGTTAGAAAATATTTTAAATGCAATTTAAACTCAATTTTGAGACAAACAAGGTATAATTTTTAATAAACTTAAATTATTTTAAATACCCTTTTATTGGCATGTGTGCCAATAAAATGGATAAACAGATTTTACGCATACCAAATGTTGGCACACTACAAATAACTAAAAGTTGGCGGTTAAATTATAAAATAATGTTTTAAAAAGGCAGTTAATATATTCAATAATAAGACAAAATGATTATGTATAAGAACTACAAAATAGATTTGCATTTTTTTTAAAGATTATGATAGCTCTTACCTTAGTAAAAAACGAATATTTCGATTGTTTTTTTCGCACAGGTCCCGGTTTGTCAAACAAATGGTTGAAGCGCCGCGATGTTTGAAAAAATAAAAAACGTGTGTAGCCAGTTGAGTAATAAATGATATTACTATTCAATTTCTACTAAAAAATATATGGTTTGGCTACAAAGAATCTTAATTTTCTTAAAAAACTGGAGCATGCCAATAAATTGGTAGAGTGCCAATGATTGGGTGGTTTACCCTAGTATTTAAGTAAAACATTTCCATTTAATAATTACATTTATGTACGATACAATAAAAATCCTTAGAAACGAATGGCGTTATTTTTTAATTAGTCCTTTAGTACCTATGTCCGTCCATTTCCAAAATACAAGTAAGGTAGTATGTTCCTATTTGTGGAAAGGATTCAATCCGGAAGGAGCAGCATCATGCGTTATAATGCAACGATAGCCCGACGGTGAATGGGTCGGACTGGCCGCCGACTCCGATCCGAGGAACGCGGGTTCGAATCCCACCGCCTCTCTACTATTGTGGTGAGCCCACTCGTAACACAACACAAGCATATATCTTACCACGAGGGGAACAGCAGTACCTATTTTTAAAAAATACATTAAGTACCAGGCGTATAGGTAGTAAATAGTATGAGAACACACATGAGAAATATAGTTTTCCATCGTTGTCTCTCATAAAACTGGGACCCTTCTGACCCACCACACTACCAGTAGTGTCGTGGTCGTGGGGAATATTTTTTCCCTTCTACACTACCAAGCCAGTAGTGTCGTGGGGTGGGTAACTTACAGCTTCATACTAACCTACTTATTTTTTTGTCCTCTTATTTATGCAAATGGCAGTTTACGTTTCTCTCTCTTCAGGAATCGTGTGAGCGAACGAAATGGAACAGTGGTCGTAAAGGAATATTGTGGGTCAATAGAAAATAGAGATACCTGCTTGCGAGTGTAGCAGCAGTGTCAAGAAAAGAAAAAAAATTACAATGGTTACCATGATGGTGATGCATATTACACAAAGCAAAACAATAATAGAAGGACCGCAGGTACTCAGCAAGACCCGTGGCAAGACCAAGCACGTCACCCATTTATTTGCAGTTACCTGTGAATTCTAACATTCATTTGCAACCTTATTCCCTAGGCTTAGGGTTCAAAATCATTTTTTTTTTACTTTTTTTTAAAGGGCCACCCTTGATATGCCCAACCCTCGGCAGGTTAAAAACGCGACCTCGTGCCACGGGTTTTATCAACCCAAGGGGGTTGATAAAACCCGTTAATTCGGTCATGTCTTTTCTGTGAAGCCAAGGTAGCTGCTGGCTACGAAAGAAGCGTTGCGTCGCCTGCATAAGCAGCAACTTGTTTTCCTTCTTTTCTATTCTATGTAGGTACTCTTTGACTATCTTTAGACATAGTACTCTCTCATCGTTAATAAAATGAAAAGAAAAATTATATCTTCAGGATCAGTCTTAAGTAGACACAGAGCATGTATGGGTAGATAAAAGAAAATAATGAGAAATACTGCTTGTAGTTTGATGAGATTTTCCTTTAACCCTTAATTTGCATCCTTGCCTACCTATTTACATTGCGCAATATTTAATTACCTGAAAACAATGTTGTTTTCCATAATTTGGTAGTTCAAGTAGATAAGTATTTAAAAAATAAACCTAGTTCATAATAATGTGTGATTAATTACTTAGGTGTTGTTATCTGTAAGAATGCCATAGCAAATGTTTAATAGTACCTGTTTAAACAGATGTTTAGAATGTACCTATCACCCAAAATTTTCATTGATTTTAGGAACAAACGTAAAAAAATAAAAGAAGTAAATGTGTTTTTATGTTTATTATTTAATACAGAAATAATCACACTCCTAAACCAAACAAAGAGATTAAAACATTGCAATATTATCTTCACATATTTGTTTTTTAAATTTTAATCATCATTGATTTTACAAAGTCGTAAGTGGAATTGCAAATTAAAAATAATTATCACCATTGTAACATAATACATCGATCATTAAACTAAACCTTAAAACTAAAGTGTCACCATAAGGTAATTAGTATAGTAATTTTAGATATAATAATGGTAATAAAATTGTGGAATTAGAAAGATCCATACACGTTTTCATCAGAGAAAGCTATGTAAAGGAAAAAATCTTCGTCATGATGTTCCTGGTAGAGCGATCCCATGGTGGCGGACGTCGGAGGAATAACATTGTTCACAAAAAAGAACAGCGCGTCCTCGGGTCGCAAGTGAATGCGCTTCCTGATCAGGAAGTAAAACTGACCAACAGTTAGATCAGACGGCACCAAATACTTCTTTTTGTCGAGGTCCCCCAATCTAGCCTTCGGGGCTTTCTCAACAATGACAGGAACACGGTCAGGATACTTCCTGCGTATCTTCTCTCCTTCAGTCTTCCTTTTCTCGAAAGAATGTTCTTCTTTATATTGGAATTTCATTTTGAGATTTTAAACACTCGGTAATTTCCAAAATGAACAATAGCACAAGAATGGAGATACTGCGACTTGTTTTTTTGTTTTTGCGTTATTGTCTATAAATCCAATGACGCAATCAGCTGATATGACAATGCAAGCAAGGAAATGAGCTTGCGTGCTTGTAGCAGGTACCAAAGATATGATAATGCGTGGTTAGATCTTTTCACGGCGATGCTAGCGACCCCCTAAAATGTTTTTGTTACTCACTTACTTGTTTAGCTACACGGACGATAAAGAACATTAATATTTTAGCTCTTTTGTTGTGCATGTTAAACTTAGAGAAAGCCAAAAAAGGCAAGAATGTAAAAGAGCAAAATATTTGATAAAAAAAAACTAGTAAACGATACGATCATGATACGACTCCATGTTTAAATGTCAAGCTACAATTGTCTACAGTCGACTTCGTTTTTGTCTATGCTCAATCCGTTGCTTGCTTTTTCTCGTTCGTTGAATGGGCTTGTTTTTCATATTCTCCTACCTTGTAATTACAATCGGCGTGGGTTTTGCACTATCTCATCTTACTAGAATATTATAAGTTTCAAACATGCGTAAACGTAAGTCATTGAAGAAAGATGACGAATCCGATGGATCAGACGGAGGAGTGGAACCAGAAGAGTTCCAAGATTCAGGAGAAGATTGGACGCCGGATGCCGATTCGGTAATACCTAATTGATGTTTGTTTCTGTGAATTTTTAATACGTTGCTTCTCGATTTATTGGTTATTAATGGTTAACTGGATAGTTAAATAAAGCTATTTGTTATCAATAATTATTTTTCAAAATGATCCCTAAAGGGTAGGCACAGAGGTTATGAAAGTAGTGATTGTACTGTACTGCGTTATTCCTAGATTAGGTACCTTAATAGCTTTTTCTCATTGTCTTGCATACCCTAAATTAAAATAATAAACATTTAGTATGTGGACAGATGTTGTCACTTTGTAACATTGTTATGATTCAAAATAATAAAATACATTAATATGGTTTGCAGAATGAACAGCCAGCTAGGGCAGGGCGGAAGCGTACATCTAAGGGATCCCTAAACAACTCTAAAAAGAAGCGCAAAAATGACGAGTCATCCGAGGAGAGTGAAGGTGAAGGAGAGGAGGACGAGGAGGGGGAGGACGACGAGGGCGAGCTGGACGAGGAGGAGGGCTCGGACGAGGAGAAGAATGGATCAGACGGAAACAAATCTGACTCCAGTCAATCTAAAGATGTACCAAAGCATTTCCATGTAAGTTTATTTATCCATTAAACAAAAGACAGCTATAAAGAGCATAGTATAACAATAATATTGTTATACTATGCTGTTGAATATCAGTGGCCTCAGTAGTATTATTATATTATAATAATACTACTGAGGCCACTGATATTCAACAGTGAAGACTACACCAATAGACTTCAATATCTTTACCAAGGTAAAGCTTAAGTCATATTATTACCTATGAAAAAATAATAACATTCAAATAAATTAGGTATGTTATTAGTAGAAGCATAATAGGCAATAATATATGGTTTCAGTTATAAAATAATATATTTTTTGCAAAAATTTTTGTGTGCATTACAATATTAATGTTAAAACATTTTTCATTTATTCCAGTCTGGAAATTTTGTATTGTTGAAGTCTGATGTTAAATGGGATGGAGACACAGTAATATCAAAACTGGATGAACTAAACTTGTGGAAAATTGATGGAAAAGCATTACTCCAGAAATTCATTCCCATGGAATCTAATGGAAAAATTTTACACAAGTGCACCTGTGTGGTATGGTTCTTTTACCTAACTTACATTTTATATTTTAGAAATATTTTTCTATGCAATGAAGTAATTAATTACATTAATTTTGTTTCAGTATTCTGGATGGAATGTCGACAACAGAGAAAATTATTACCCTATTACTGAAATTTTGGATAGGAATCCACGCACAGAGTCTAAGGAAATATGTGTAGCTCTAGATCTTAATGATCTTATCAAAGTAAGGGATAAGTAACTTCATGGTGTTTTTACTTAATTCAATTAGATAAGTGGAAATAAATTTATCAAATAAAAGTTTCCTTTGGCACTTCATTCCAGTTTACTTTATGTAATTCAAACATTTTATATAAAATGGGGATTAAATGAATGTTCAGTACACTAAGTAGTATTAATTAACAGCTTTTGTGTATCTTTTTCCTCTGAATCTATTTAGAGTAGTTTATCAATTTGCCATTTTGTGCAATCTAGCTTTTAATTTTGTAGGTCTTTGACATCAACTACAATAGTAGCTGAAAGAAAAACACCNAACACCTAACACCTTAGATGTATTAATCTATGCCTAACACAATTCTAATTTATTGTTGTAATCTGTTCCTAGAAGCTCCATTTAAGACCCAGTATCTCCAGCTCCCAAAAGAGTTCCAAAATTATTCAGTTTGAATAACATTTATCCTACTAATATTATAAATGCGAAAGTTTGTATGGATGTAATTTTATGTTTACTCTTTCACGCCAAAACTACTCAATGGATTTTGATGAAACTACAGTAGCTAATCAGAACATTTAAAAGCTTTAATTTAGAACATAACGATCTGTGACAAACTGAATGAGGGCTATCGTTTTAGCGCCCACTGTAGAGTAAGGTCCTGTCACTTGCTAGTCGCGAAGACAGTGGCGCCAACTTCTGAGCTCTAAAGTGGTACGAGGACTATCGCATTTGCACTCATCAAGATGGCGCCACTGTAGAGTAAGGTCCTGTCAATCGCCAGGGGTGCCAACTGTTAAGTATAAAAACGATAGCCCTCATTACACGCGGGCGAGCTAGTTTTTAAAATAATAAATGTTGGCTGACAGAAAAGCAATTTAGTAGGTAATCACTTATAGTTTCCACCCTGAATATAGTTCAATAGGTTTGGACTGCACTTTCCCGAGGGTTGGTAGTTCGTTCAACTCATCACTCGTCGCACTGGACTATGGTGGTGTATCTCTACTTAATCTGTGGAACGCACAAAAGCTACTCGAGGCGTACTTGCAGCTCAATCGAGTCAACTGCGCACCTGGCAGCCGTGACTTCACATTGATGCTCCCTGAGCCCCGATTACGGTAACTTATAACGTCAACAATCCAGACACGCTTCTCGATTCTGCGATACGATTGGTCGTTCAACAGCGTACGTCAGCTGTTTTGACCAATCGTATTGCAGAATCAGAAACGCGTCTGGATTGTAGACGTTAAAAGTTACCGTAATCGGGGTGCTGGTACGGACGGGGAGATGTGCGAGGGAGTCACATTCCAGCGAGGTGCGCAAATAACTCGATCGGGTTGTATTGTACGGCGCAAGTACGCACACCGAAGTATGGGCGACCCCCGCGAGGAGGAAGGAGATAGTAACCGAGATGGTGTTCACATCACACTATTAATAAAATTACGTCTTGGCCAACTTCCCGCATAGCAGCTACAACTTGACTTACTATTCAGAACCGCTGGCGCTACTAGCGCCATCTGCGAAATGCTTTGCATGTGGGATGTTACGCGCACTCAAACCGGTCTTTCAAGACCCAATTCATGCTGCTATTTTCTTTCTTCTTGTGACATGACGGCTGTAGTAAGGTAACGTAACTGTAGACCTTGAAATAGAACTCGATTTTAGGTACATGGCGCTTAACTGAGTTGGTTCTGTTGTAGTACGTGCATGCAGCATAATGTGCTATCGTACTGTAAATAACTACACTTAATGTATGATGAAGTACTTAGGTACTTCATCCAAAAGTCTCGTGACAGATCTATTAAGTCTCATCACCCCTCCTGCATCGTTACACTACTGCAGACGGGAACCGTCACCGTCCCCTACTCAGTTGCACTATGCCCGTTACATGAAGTTGGAAAACAGCTTTCTATAACTAAATGATTGAATGCACCTGGACGTCTTTTGGCTTATGGATGAGTATTCGGGATTGAATTAAAGGCTTAACTGTAAATTATGTCAAAAACACTTTATTAATTTATTTAATACCATTACCATTACTTATAGTGACTATAATAAAATTTATCTATTGTTAAACTATACATATATTTTTTAACGATAGTTTTGCGCAGGCGCGGATTCATTAGAGGGCATGCCCACAACCTTGTTAAAGATGACCCACGCTGAACTGTCTCACCAAACTCAATGACAGAGGGGCGCTACCATCGTTCAACTATATGGTTTCCAACATGACAAAAATCGGATCCAGCGATCCGGTGTTGGCGTTGGCGCCCCACTATCAATGTCATGGATAGGACAGTTCAGTATTTTGGAACTATAGGCTTGTGACATTACACTCGCAGTCTATTGAGCCTATGAATTTGAAAAAAATATACTTTTTGAGGGCTGGATCCACGCCTGTCTTAGGTAGGTACTACCCATAGTACTACCACGAAATTAGAACCTGTCTGAGCTGGAGTAACCGAAAACACCCTTTAACGGTTGAGCCTTTAATTTAACAAAGTCTATACAGGATGTTAGGTAAATGGGTATATGAGCTGACACTAGCCCATGTTAACATGGGCATATAAATGGTATGGTGAAGTCAGAAATTTGATATCATCATTTTTTTATTTTTTATTTTCATACAAAATAAATTTTATAAAATCTGATTTGTATGAAAAATAAAATAATGAAATTTATTCATCCATGGCTAACTTATGAGAGCTCATTTATGTAGTTTACTTTTTTATTACTGTATAAATTCATCATTTACGCTACTGTACGTAATTTGATATTTATCATGTGTCATCTGCCGAGTCATTCCCAACGTTACTAGGCGACTCTGGGTCCACCAAATGTATCGTGCTGAAAGAAAACAGAGGATTAAATTAGACTTAGTATTATCACAAACAACATGTTGTAAAAAAACACATGGTAAAAGAAATGTCAAATGTGTTGAATTACCTCAGAGCATGGACAATTTCAAGTGACTCATCAAGATTGTCACTTTCATTAATTTGGTCTTCATCCTCAATTATTATCACTTCATTTTCAGGCGCTTCAACTATTATGACCTCATCATTACCATTATCTTCATCATTTGTTTTCATTTGTTCTGAATTACTATTTCCAATATTTTTTATTCCAGCTACACCTGTAAATTAAAATCCAAAGTGAACATCTCAGACAATATAAAATAGTAGAACCTGTCTGGTATCAGTGGTGTCTGTGTTGTTGTTGCAGCAATGCGAATTTGAGGTAAGAGCTGGGAGGTAGACACAGCACAGTTTAAGGTTCCAAGGCCTAGGTAAACAAATATAAGTTTACCAGAATCCCATGGCATAAAAAATATTTAAAAAGTATGATTTTCATATGGCAATGTTTATTGTCACCTAGTTATTGAATTTTTAGCGTTAATTTGAAAATTATAAATAACGAAAAAATACTAAGAGATACAGTAGCCAACATTTCTTCCTTTCAGAGATATTTAGCCCCTTTTTCAGTATTTATTTCCGCTATTAGGTCTGGATGTTTGAAATTATGGCGCTGCCATGAGCTGTGGTAAGGTGAGCGCCTAAACTTAGAATTGAAAATGTATAAATGTTTATTGAATCATGCATGATACATAGCTCTCATATTATAAAGTCGTACCTTTGGCAGGTAACGTTGGCGTATCTCTGCGCACGCGTCGCCTGCGAGTCGGGTCGTTACGACGAAACTGGATCATGCTTTGAAAATCTATCGTGTATACAGCTCCAGCCAAGAGCAACGCACAATTAGTGTCACCAGCACTGAATGCTGATTCCAACTCATTATTACTACGCTCATCATACTTCCACCAACCTGAAACCACAGAATAACATCATCTAAAATTATAGTACTTTTAAAAGTCTATTGAATACTGAATCGCGACGTGTATGAAATTATAAACTATAATTCACATCGGCCTCACGGCCGTCACTGAATCGCTCTTTTGAGTTTTTATATTTGTACAAGCATTCGACAGGGGCATTGCATAAAGTTACATAAACGTTTAGTATTTTGTTTTGCCTCTAATAATTTTATGAAGTTCAAATTATATCTTTACCGTTTCGCCCTTCATAATACCACTGGTTTTCAACACTTTCATTTTCATCAGCTGATTGCTGTTGAGAATTTTTTTCTAATAATACAGGATGATCTAAATAGTCCGCAGGTATTTGTGCCCGGCACATTGCGCAATTTTTATTTTGGATTGCTACACCCTGAAACAAAAGAAATACAGGTACAGTGATAGCTTAAAATTATTTCTAGCCAGTAAGGCAAATACGAAACTGAGTGTGTACCTACCACATTATTTAGCAGCTCGATTTCAACATGTTAAAATCTTTTAAATGTCGTTAGATTCGTCTTAACTGGTAGAGTGACACCGGCTATGTCAAAATTGGAAGAAGCATTTATTTTAGGCTCCACATCTTATTTATTTTTTTCTAAAAATCTACCGAGTAGAGTTTCAAAATAAAGGATTTCATAAATAGATTGTAAAAAGAAATCAAAAAACCCGACTGCGAAAAATGAACTAAAAACATAGAAACATAGCAACTAGAGTGTTTGAATGTTCAAATGCAGTTAGAGGCATTAACAACAAAAATAATTAGTTAATTTTTATGCAGTAGGGTTTCTTGTTTTCTTAATAACATTTTTTTTTTAATTATTTTGGGCATGGTTCTTATTATACCAGGTATCAAGTGAGTTAGGTACAAATCTAATTTTAATGTTTTACTATTTACACTGTCAGTCTTATTTGCGCTTCAAATTTTGCATCCACTGTATTATTGGGTGGAGTATAATGTTTAAACTAACTTAAACATTATAACTAAAATAGTAAGACACGGGTCTTAACATTATTAATGAGTTACATTATATACTCATGGCTTGACGTTTCAGCTGCTATGTTGCAGCTGTGGTCACAAGCAGACGTCGAGTTAAGACCCATGTCTTACTAGATACTTATAATGTTTAAGTTAGCTACTAATTACTGGACTTTGTACCTACCTAAGTAACTATTTTTCTTTTTTTATACATTTTACAATAAACCTAAACAAATGATAATTTATTTTATTTTAATGGAAGTACATAACTAGTCCATTGTAAATTGTTAGAACTTCAATGAAGATTATAGATTTATATGTGCGTGTCTGTTGCATATTGTATTAACCCTGAAAATTACTAATAGATTCCCTTACCTTAACACAGAGGAAGCAAAATATATGGCCACATGGAAGTTGAGTTGGGTGGTGACATTTCTGCAGGCAAACTGCACAGTCCTGTTCTGCAACAAAAACATTTTTTTATAATTACAGAAATGGTCAAATTGTGCCGAGTCCGTACAATCTGACTGAATATCCAAATACCCAGCTAATGGCCAATAAAGATCAAAGTTAGAGAAGCTACACTATTGCAACGACACGCATTGAATCTCTGTTTAGCCTAGGCGCAGACCACTGATTTTTAACCCTTAAGTAACACCGTGGGGTAATTTTTTACCCCAGGCGCATAAAAATCGACATTTTTTTTTCTAGCGTAGCTAGTGCAATGTCGTTTTGTGTATTCTCAATCCAAAGTGTGCGCTTTAACTCGTAGATGCGGGATGTGAAAAAAATCATCCGTTTGGCTTGTACAGGTAGGTGGGGCAGAAATTTACCCCAGGGTGTTAGTTACGCATACTTTAATTTATCATCACCTAACATGTTATTAATAGGTTTTTACAACATTGACACAAAATGAGTAAATATTTATATGACAATTAAGTAACACATTGTCTCTAGAATGCAGAGAGATAATTAGAGCTTGATTTACATGATACTTTTCGAACTTTGAAGACATCCCCTCAGAACAGAGCGTTCATAAATTCGACACAGAAATAGGGCTAAAAAGTGATAATTACGTAGTAATTCAGGGTGTCTGATGTGTTTTGAAAAAAATAATTAGGACTAATATAAATAAAAAATATTTATATATTTTTTTATAATTTAATAAAAAAATATTTTTTTTTATTTTGCTTTATTAACAAGCCAGAAATTTTCGTTTTATTTCATTTTGTGTTTAAAATATGATTAAAACATCTATTTAATGTCCGATTAGTGTAAGTTTTTGGTTCCCACAATAACTTTCCAAGATTTTTCTAGAAGACCATTGTGGAGACTATTGGTTGCCAATGACAAATTATTTGTTTTTTGTTATGATTGATTTAAGGTGTTTCTTTACGCTAGATAGACGTTCTTTTAAAGCAATCGTATAATTCAGTGAGTCCATTAATACATTGTAAATCACAAAATTAAATTGATTTTAAAAATTTACTTAAAATTTTTCAATTTCCGTTTGGGGTAATTTTTTGCCCCAGGGTGTTCAAAGTGTAACCAAAAATAAGGATGTTACTTAAGGGTTAACCGACCGAAAGTGGGCCCGATTCTAATTTGTAAGAAGAATCAATCGGTGTAATGTGCGCACTTCCATACATGCCCATACTGATTAACTGCCAGACTAAACTATCGGCCGACAAAAAATCGGTGGTCTGCGCCTAGGCTTAATGTCTGTTACACAGACGATGATAATAAACAGTATTATTATGTTCAAGCTTGATATTAACTAAATCTTGAATTAGAAATATATAGGAATTTCCTCCGTAATGATAAACATTCATACTTTCACCATTTTATCCTGAAGTTTATTTATTCACTGTTTTACAAAATATTATTTACCTTGAATATCTATATTCATCTTAGCAGAAATAATAATATCTGTACGTAAGAAGCATTAAAATATAGATACGTTATTATAAAGTATTAGTTTGTGAAGGATTTTGGACTATTTAAGCATTTTGACTTTTGTATGCAGCAGGCTGTCAACTAAACTGTCAGTGTCAGTGTCAAAGAAATGAAGCCTGTCAAATGTATTTTTTTTATTATTTCTTCTTGATTAATGACATCATGCTATACAGCCAAGCACAGATATGATTAGAGCAGCCAAGTCTTTAGGAAATTATAAAACGGGGAAAACGGTATCCTTCCGTTTGGCCAAATTACTTTTCGCCAAATTTCACTTCGCATACAACTAATCGAAAAAGTTTCATTTCCCAAATGAACTTTTAGCAACTGTACTTTTCGCAACTAATTCATTTGGTCAAATTATCATTTGGCAAATGTTTAATATAGCAAATGTTTTATTTTGCCAAATATTATATCCCAAATAATTTGTTTGGTCAAATTGACACTATTCACATACTTACCCACCACCGCACCGTTACCCACAAATCCCACAATTCCCACAAATCAAAGCTTGGCACATGATCATGGTTCTTACAAGATTTTTATGTAAAACAAAGAGATTGCCGTGCCGCGGTAGCGGCCGCCGAGCGCTAGAATCACCTCTATTGTTAATTAATCATTTGGAAATTTCGATAAAAAGAATGAAATATGAAAATTAATTTAGAACAAATTTTGCCAAATGAAATATTTGGCAAAACATACTTTGCCAAACAATATTTTTCTAAATAATGGCAAAAACGACATTTGCGAATTAAAAGTTTGCAATAAGTTGTTTTGCCAAATGAAAATTTGCGAAACGTTGTTTGCGATGTGATAATTTGGGAAACGTTTTTTGGCCAAACATTAGTAATCCGGGAATAGGAGATATTCCCACTTGGCCATGTTGGACAAAAACATTTTCTACTGAATGACAACAGCTAAGTATTTTGGGGTCATTGGACAAAATTCTACATGCTCAGAGACCGGGCTTTACACTGGTACGAGGCATAGAGCATAGCCATGAAAAAGTTGTTTTCTCTCAAGTCTTATTTAGTTAAATTATATATTAACCCTTATTCAAATAAAGGTAGATATATTACCACTTCGTTTACTTTTAAAAAAGGATCCTAATTTTCGATATGGTGATACTTTAAGATATTGTGGTCACTTATTTATATTTTTAAATATATTTTTTTACTTATCTATGCCATCTTACAACTTTTCAACGTCATTTGTCACTGTCAGGTAATGTCAAAGTCAACCAAACGGTTTTGGTGTGAAAAATTTCAAGTTTTTAGCGCGCGTTTTTGGTATTTTTGAAACTTTGTTCAACGAAAATTCTGATAAGTGTTTTTTCGATTCAAAATCCTAAACTATAACATTTATTGTATAGTCTCACTTATAGGCAGCGTCTGCAATTGATTTATTCATATAGTTTAGACATTTTAAAGAAGTGGTAAATAGTTTACCACTGTCCGATCCCGTCTTGACAAAAGTTTGATGATATATAAAAATAACTGTTGTTTTTTGTATGTGCACAAATAAAACTAAATAAATATTTGGAGAAATTTTAAGTTATTTTGATAACTGTTTACGTAACGTTTTGACATTACGTAATTAGTGAATTTATTGTTAGTTTCAGACTCAAGGTAAGCATAATAATTGTAAGCATAATGACCAATATTAATAAATATTATTTTTATAAAAACAATATTATTTAATTCCCAAAATATTTAATAAAATATAGGTAGAACCAAGAGGAAGTCACTAGTCAAGAACCAAAAATAAACCAAAACGGACAATGGTAACTATTTTACCACCAACATTGAATAATTTGTAGTCATGAATGGATAATGGTAAATTATTTACCACCCAAAAAACTACCCCTTCCCCTATTTTTTAATAAATTTTGATCAAAAATATGAAATAAGTGACCCACAATTACCCAAAATCCACTTCAACTTTGTAAAAAAAATGCCTACCAGCTCGCATTTGAATAAGGGTTAAATTCGAAATCTATGTATAACACCAAAATATATATTACCCTTTGTTTTTGTTCAGGCGTTATACAAAAACTAATAATACAAAATGCCTATTTATCACCAAAATTCGTAAATGTATGTAATTACCTAAATGTCTATTACAGCTGCTATGGAATGTATCTAGGTGAGCTGGAGATACAGCCGGATTATCAGGGTGGAAACGATAAGTGATCTCACTCGATTATTTCTTACTACCTATACAAGATATCAAAAAACTAGTTAATGATCCTGAAAGTGCTTCATGAGCTTTGTTATCAAATGGTATCAATAATAAGTTACAAAAGCAAAAAATTCAATGTTATCTGCTTCCATAATCTGTAACCTATTATTGGTACCATTTGAAAGAGCTCATGAAGCACTTTCAGAATCAGTAACTAGTTTTTCGATATCTTGTATAGTTTAGAAATAATCGAGTGAGATCACTTATCGTATCCACCCTGTATAATTCGGCCGTATCTCCAGGTCACCTAATTAGATACATTCCATAGGAGCTGTAATAGACATTTAGGTACATACATTTACGAATTTTGCTAAGCATTCATTTAGGAATTACTGGGCACAATATTGTTCTTCTAATGATACTGTCAGTTATCTTTATGTTTTAGGTCTATTCCACTTTGATCACCTGGCTTTGATGACCCAGGTGATCAAAGTCCACTTCCAGCGACAATTTAGTGTCCTTTGATCACCCACGGATATGATGCCCTGGGTGATCAAAGTGGACTCCAGTTAAATTATTATTTTAGTGTCCTTTGATCACCTACATACAATTCACACCTCCTCCTCTGAATAGACGTCATGACCAATTGTTGTAAGTACAAACATTTTCTTAATAGGTATAGACAAAATTTTTTATGCAGCATGAAATATTTTAAAGCGTTACTTACCTGAACAATGTTTGTCCGTACATTTAGTATAAGAGGAGATGTGATTTGTATGTAGGTGATCAAAGGACACTAAAATAATAATTTAACTGGAGTCCACTCTGATCACCCAGGGCATCATATCCGTGGGTGATCAAAGGACACTAAATTGTTGCTGGAAGTGGACTTTGATCACCTGGATCATCAAAGCCAGGTGATCAAAGTGGAATAGACCGATTTTTAATGTGACTGATCTTGGAAGGAAACAAAGACATTTTTTTCATGTACCTTCTTCACACCTTCAAAATATTGTGGTGACAATGCTTTGCTGTTTAAACTTACATGCTATATCAATCTTTTAACATATTAGTACCTATTCATTGATATTGTTTAACAGCATAGGTATGATGTATTAAAACAAAATGTTGGATAAACTACATTTTATTAAATAAACTAACATCTATATAAATTTATGTTAAACTATTTACATCACCAAGGCCTTACTTTGCTTTGAGTTGCATGCGTTAATATCCAAGTGTTGATTGGTTTTGGTTTCATAGCTGCTTGTTTATGTCGAGGAAACTTATGGCACATTACATACATCCGTTCATCACGAACTACGAAATAACAAGACTTGCAGCGACGCCTCACTCGCCCTTTGATTTTGAGGTTGCAAACTGGGTTCATCATAGGGATAAATGGGGAAAGAAAGTTGTTCCCATGTACATTCTTAAAAGATCCGGCAATATTTGGTGTAATATTAAAAGTCTTTGTTCCGAAAGTTGACACAGTTTTCACGAATGATAAAAGCTTCTGCATTTTTCCGAATTGCCAATTTCAGAAACAAAACTTTCATGAATTTGAATGAATTTCAATAAAATCATGAATGTTTTATCCTGCCTATCTTTTCAATCAACTTCAACTGTCAAAGCAATGTGAAGTTTTGAGGTTATGTTTTTTTTTTCTTCTTATTTTTTGATGTTGGCAATACAATTAGAGGCCGACTTAATTTGTGCCATTTTCAAGATTCAAGTGAGACGAGTTACAAAATGGGACCAAGTGGGATGGGGCTTGGGTTAATAAATGATATAATGAAGGATGATACTCCTTCCCGCCCTTTTAGTCTCAGTAAAGTTTGTTTGTTTCAGATGACTATTAATGTGTAATAGGTGGAAGTCACAGTAAAGCACCACACACCACCACAAGTGGTATCATCTATACGTCCCATTTTGTATGTAACTCGTCTCACTTTATAATAACTTGAAAATGGCACAAATCAAGTCGACCTCGCCGTGTATTGCCAACATCAAAAAAGAAGAAGTGGCAGGTGGCAACAACCACTGCACATTTTATCTGTGGCAACAACACACATGACATCATTGGCAAACGTGGAAACACAGTAGCCATAGAGGAGAAGAAGAAGAAGAAGAAGACCATGAAGCTATAGATAAAAATAGAAGCCACACTCCGAATACCTACTTGAAGCACAACCTATGTATCACTATCTCGCTCTCTGTGGGCACACTCTCTCTTTCTAAGTAAACAAAAAATATTAATTTGCTCAAAGTCAATGAAACTCAATGTAAAATCTTTATGTCTTTTGACATAGGTATCATTAAATGATAAGTGTAAATACTGGTATAGGTGTACCAGAATCTCATGGCAAATGGGGAAAATAAACTTTGTTGAGTGCAATACTGGGGAAATTGGATTAAACGATCTTGATACTGTTTAATTTTTTATTTGACTTTAATATTAATGAACATGAAGTACGAATGCCTACCTATATTTTAGATATGTGTATGAAGAATGTTGTTATAAATCGGGTTTTTAACATAGAAACATGTCTTGAAAAATAAGTAAACCGTATAATATTACTGTAAATAATTTTATTATGTATCATTCTTATAACTTATCACTTCATTCAGAACTAGAAAACGATTCTTAAGAACTCCACTTGCATTTCTTGTTCTTTAATAGATGATCAAGTTAAAGAGGTATTTATACAGGGTGGAATTTTGTAATGCCACCTGGAGGGAAAGTACTCTTAATACTGTAGATAGAAAATTTTACTGAAAGAAAATATTCCTTTATTTTTGACAAAAAAAGAGAACTACATTCAAAGATTTTCGAATTTTTTTCGAAAATTCACCACTATACCTACCATACAATTTTCTGTAACATTATTAAAATAATTTAAGATTTCATGGTTTTCCTATCATTTGATTTATCAAGTTTGTTAGAGAGATTTCATCCTTATACTTAACCCTAACGATCGATGTAATAAAAATACAGGATATAATTTTTAACAGATTTTAGTTGGTTAGATTCCCGGGTGTGGCAAGCAAATTTTTGGAAATCTTTGAATGCTGTTCTATTTCTTTTCAAAAATAAAGGAATGTTTTCTTTGAGAAAAAAAATCTATCTACAATATTAAGAGTACTTTCCCTCCAGGTGGCATTGTGGTGGTAGCTCACAAAATTCCACCCTGTATAATATAAATCGCTCTTTCAGCATTTCAATTACTCAAACTTGCTTGATAATATCTTTTTCAATTTTCTTTACATGGTCATAACGTTTTCACTATTCCTCTGAACCAATGTATGAAATACACCTGAAAACCCCGAAAAAGCAGCTATTAGGTAAGAATAATATAAAAATAAACATCATAACCCTCCTTCTGACGCAGTTAGGTAATAAACTAAATGTATCAAAACATTTCACTCCAACTTACTGTCAACTCAACGACGCGCTTTAAAATCAAAGATTGACTTTGAATTATGCCTTATTTTACAATACACATTGAAAACAATATGATTTGCTTGAGCTTTTTCGAATTTTTCACAAAAATAACAAATAGGCATGAAGAGATTACAAAATTTCTGCAGCGGCTGACAGATCTCTTGATTTACTTTGACAGGTGACAATAAAGCCATAGACAATGGCCATATGAAAAACACACTTTTCCAATATTTTTGTTTGCCATGAGATTCTGGTACACCTATAAAACGTTTTAGGAAGAAATTACTATGAAAATTGTGAAAAATGTTTATAATGATCCAATGTCGGAAATCACGAAATAAAAACTTACGCGTGGAATCTTAAGTCACTTCCGGGACACCACGCACTACCGCAACCACGCACTACAAAATTTTGCACCATTTCTTGTGAATTATGTCCTGTAAAAAATCTCAAACGAAATTAACTGCATAATAAACAAAATAGTAAACAACCGCCATGATGGGCCGGATTGGGCCGATGTTGCCACATCATGTGGCCCACATGGTACCGATTACCCAGGAATTGGGATTGTAATTCCCTGATTCGCCAACACATAAGCCTAAACGGAAGACAATTTTGTGATTTTTAATTGAACTCTTTTTGACACTAATCGTGATTTCATTAAATTCATTGTGAACCATCGAAATTGGTTTTGTTAATCGTCTTTTCACATCACTATAGTACATGACAACATGAAGCTAAAGATAAAAATGGAGGGCAAACTTGGAACAAAAACTTGAGTCAAATACCTACTTATATCTATCTCGCTCTCTGTGGCCCTACCTCCCTTTTTAGTGTGAACTGTAGTATTGCTATCTCCTGATTTAAATCTCCTAGTAAATTCTTCGAAATAGCCAATTCACTAACCAAATCATAAGTTAAATAAATAAATAATTAAATATTTGAACTACGATTACCTACTTAAATTAAAAATCACAAAATTGTCGGCCGTTTAGGTTTAATGTGTTGGCGGATCAGGGAATTACAATCCCAATTCCTGGGGAATCGGTACCATGTGGCAACATCGGCCCAATCCGGCCCATCATGGTGGTTGTTTACTATTTTGTTTATTATGCAGTTAATTTCGTTCATAGATAAGAATATTTCGTTTGAGATTGTTTACAGGAAATAATCATTGTTTTATCGCAAGAAATTGTGCAAAAAATTTTGTAGTGCGTGGTTGCGGTAGTACGTGGTGTCCTGGAAGTGACATAAGATTCCACGTGTAAGTGTTTATTTCGTGATTTCCGACATTGGATCATTGTAAACATTTTTCACATTTTTTACAGTAATTTCTTCCTAATATGTTTTACCAGTATTTACACTTATCATTTAATGATACCTATGTCAAGAAATAAAGATTTTACATTGAGTTTCATTGAATTTGAGCATTTTTATATTTTTTGTTAATTAAAAAGAGAGAGCCTGCCCACAGAGAGCGAGATAGTAATACATAGTTTGTGCTTCTAGTAGGTATTCAGAGTGTGGCCTCCATTTTTATCTATAGCTTCATGAGACAGACAGAGAGAGCGAAATTCGCAACATAACCTGCAATCTATGCTGAATTTTGTTTAAATTTTGAAATTTTAATCATAAAGAAGTGATTGGACGGAATTTTATTAATATGGATTGTCCTGATGTTAAAAAGCGACGTTTAAACAGTAAGTACATACCTAAGTTATAAGTACTAAAACTTGTTTCTTCCTTTTTATTAAGAAACTTTAATTTTGTACTGTAAATAAAAGATATACAGGGTTACGGTAATAAGTGAACTTTCTTTGTAAAGAAAAGTTCAGTCATTTGCAACAAATATTGTGCAAAAGTTAATCCATTTATGAGATCTTCATTTTATTTTTACAAAATTCAGGTGACTATTTTTGATTGACGGGAGCACTGTTTCAATGAATCAAATAAATGCACCATGAGTGTTTAGTAAATAAACTTGTCTCCTTAAGATTTTTCAAAATTTAATTAAAATATCTTTACTTTGAGTAAGCAAAGTAAGTAAACTTTTTTTATTTTTTTTTATTTTGTTACAAATGACCTACTTATATTATTATTATAATCTCTTACAAGGATGATGTTCACTCATTACCAGTCACGCTACAATGATAAGTTGTTAAATGGTTTCAAATGACATAAAATATTTTTAAATCTACTTCAATAATTAATTTCCCTACTTTGATTTTAATTAAAATTATTTATTATACAGTGTGTTTCTGTTTGAACTTCCGATACTTACTTTATCCACATTGTATTCTTTGTTAAATTTTATTGTCAAAAAATTATACAAAGTGGAGTCGCACTGCTCACCCCTCTGAATGGAAGCCATTTTTATTAAATAGGTATAACTTTTCATATTTTTGGAGCTTATGGAAACTTGATTTTTTATAATTTTATTAACAAAAGTAACCTTATTTTAAATGGTAATGAAATGATTATGATTCACGCTTATTATTTAGAAACAGGGTTTGAATTTGGAACTATTGGACATGCATACAAATGTTTTTAATATGTGGGGATCGATCCTGCGACCTCTGGCTAAGTAGTCTGGTATAAACCATTACACCATTGGTTCCCAAACTTATTTGAGACGCGCCCCCTTTCGACCACATAAAAAACTAGCTTTCCGCCCGCGGCTTCGCCCGCGTGGAATTTTGTCTGTCACAGAAAAACTTTGTCACGCACATGCCTGTTTCAAAAACCGGGATAAAAACTATCCTATGTCCTTTCCCGGGACTCAAACTATCTCTATGCCAAATTTCATCAAAATCGGTTCCGTGGTTTAGGCGTGAAAGAGAGACAGACAGACAGAGTTACTTTCGTATTTATAATATTAGTATAGATTCCGTGCCCCTCCAGATCCAGTCAAGATTATTCATTGGTCGTATCTAGCAGTCTGGAATGCATTCTCTCAGCGGTCGCAGGTTTTTTATACTTAAGTACACAGATGGCCAGCGTCCCCCTTTAAAGGTCTTCTTTGCGCCTCCCTTGGGGGGCGCGCCCCCCACTTTTGGAACCATTGCACTACACGAAACGGTCCTCAATTATATGCAAACTCACTAATTAATATAGTCTACTTTTTCTTTCTAAAGCTTCGCAACAACAACGCCCATCTCAAGGGTGGTAGTGCACATGAAATTAGTTAGTGACGCCAAACCAACTAAGGTACAGCCAAACCAACGCGATCAGATGGCGATCAATGCTTAAAACTGAACCTCTGAATCTTTACCGTCCGCACCACCCCCCCGCTTACCCCGCTACACCAACGAGCCAGGGCCGGATTAACCATCTCGGGGCCCCTAGGCACAGCTCCTTTTGGGCCCCCCTTTTGTTTTGTCGCGGAGGATATGATTTGCGCACCGTCACCATTGCCGGGGGACAGGGTGGTGTGTGGGACTCCCGGTGCCCTATAAAGGGAAAAGGACGGGTTTTACCTACTAAAACCTCCGCGGCGTTCTGTCGTAGCCCGAGTGGTGGTGTCGCGAGTATCCGGCCGTAGCCTTAGACTTCCGCGACACCACGCTACAGCGACAGCTCGCCTACACGGCGGACCCTACACGCCCCCCTTGTGGGGGTCCGACGGGAATGCCCGAAACGCCAAGCCGTTCCCGTCAGACGGAGGTGACAACGGTGCCCCCGCACCCCCGGCCTGCTGGCCGCCACCTGGGGGCAGAGTAGAACGGTCGTACAACCGCCTTCTGATGGAGCGAGAGACGGAGCGATGGGGCGAGAGGATCGTTCTCCCGCTCGCGCTCCGCTGCCTCCTTCTGAAGGATGACCTCTTCGCAAAAGGAGGCGACCACCTTCCAGCATCCTTCACTTCCCAGCATGGCGATGACCAGGCTCGGAAGCGAAAGATCCCGGCCCACGACCGCAGTGAGGACACGGCGCTGCTCCTCCCAGCTTGTGCAGACCGCGAGGGTGTGCTGCACCGTGTCATCCACCGCGCCGCATTTGTGGCACACGGGGATTCCGGTCGCCCGATTCTATGCAGGTACGAACCGAAGCAGCCATGCCCGGTCAGCACCTGCGCCAGACGGAACGTGAGGAACCCGTGCGGTCGTACCGTCCAGAACAGATGACATACAAGACCCCAGCTTCTAGCTCCCACGCCGCAGCGTGCCCTAACGTGAGTTAGGTCCTTGCGACCCTCAAGTCACTACAAAGTATACGCGAGCAGTACGCAGCATATGCGTACTGGTCGTGTATAGTTTGGAGGAGCTTAGTAAATAAAGTCATTTCCAAACTATACTCGATTAGTTTCACACCCTTGCGTTCTGGCTATGTATAGAACGGAAAGACGCGTCTGCGCAGTAGGGCAGCATTCTCCCTCTTGTTGAGTGTGTCCGCCCAGACTGGGGCGCCATGCTCCTCAGAACGCCGGCATAAAGTCGACGACAGCTCGTTTGTGTTCTCTCACTCAGTGCGCTGGCTGCCTTGAGAAGGCGTGGCGCTAGCCCGTTGAAGTGCGGGATAAAATGCTACCTCCCGTCAAGCGTGAGGCCCAGATATTTNTGAGCTCTAAACTCAGTCTGAACTGAGTTACGAGCATTCGGAGCATTAGAAGTTTGATGATTTTCATACTAGATTTGCTTTTTGCGCGCAAAGTTTTGTAAGAAATTGCAACAAAATAGTGAGATTGTATGTGTAAACAAACAATATCATCCATTAAAGGCTCCAGACGTATGTATGGAGATGTCCAGTATGGAGCAGAATCAGCGCAATAAAAAAATAGCGCAATATTTCGCAATCGCAATTTCTTACAAAACTTGCGCACAAAAAGCAAATCTAGTATGAAAATTATCAAACTTCTAATGCTCGTAACTCAGTTCAGACTGAGTTTAGAGGTATACATGCCATAGTAAGTTTGGTTTATTACACTATTTTGTAATCAAAAAACAAAGTTTGATCGATGGCCGCGCGAAAAAAAAAAGACGCCACTTTCCATACAAAATCTGGCATTGCCATTTCATCAAAATCGGTTCCGTGGTTTAGGCTTTAGGCGTGAAAGAGAGACAGACAGACAGAGTTACTTTCGCATTTATAATATTATTATAGATTCCGTCCAGATCCAGTCAAGATTATTCATTGGTCGTATCTAGCAGTCTGGAATGCATTCTCTCAGCGGTCGCAGGTTTTTTATACTTAAGGACACAGATGGTCCGCGTCCCCCTTTAAAGGTCTTCTTTGCGCCTCCGTTGGGGGGCGCGCCCCCCACTTTTGGAACCATTGCACTACACGAAACGGTCCTCAATTATATGCAAACTCACTAATTAATATAGTCTACTTTTTCTTTCTAAAGCTTCGCAACAACAACGCCCATCTCAAGGGTGGTAGTGCACATGAAATTAGTTACAAGAAAAATATAAATGAATGAATATTTATTTAACTACTAGCTGACCCGGCGAACTTTGTTCCGCCTTAATGGCAATAAATAAGCAGACTTTTTTTTTAAATTTCGAACGGGATAAAAAGTATCCTATGTCCTTCTCCTGGCTCTAAGCTACCTCCCTGACAATTTTCAGCTAAATCGGTTCAGCCGTTCTTGAGTTATAAGTGGAGTAACTAACACGACTTTCTTTTATATATATAGATTAATTTATTAGTAAAGAACCTTGTTCAACAAACGTATCCTAAAACTTTCGAGACACGCTTGTTAAGGTACAGCCAAACCAACGCGATCAGATGGCGATCAATGCTTAAATCTGAACTTCTGAATCTTTACCATCCACCACACCCTGTATAGTTTTAACGTATTTTTTTATCAATGATCCAACAAAAGATAAAATTAGCATTTGTTAACATTAAAATATACATTCGTATTCGTACACATCATAGGTATTAAGTAGGTATGTATTTGGCAAAGTCATAACCAATTTTTTGCATTTATTTTTAGAAGATCAAGAAGAATCAAGCCAAGATAAAGTGACTTTGAGACGAAAAGCACCTGAAAAACCTGTTAAGAATAAGAAGAAACATATCTCCAAATTTCGTTTCAAGACTACAGGTGAGAGTGCCTCTTTATTAACACCAAGTAATGAAAGGATACCTTTAATGCTTACGGATGTGCAACATTTGTTATTACATTCTCTGCTAGGAAATTTAAATTTGTCTCAGCCACCGCGATGGTATGTTCTGGAGAAATGTAACCAAATAAGTCAAACTACGTGCCTTATATTAGAGGGAATATCTATTCAACATTGGGAAAAAAACAACAATGAATTGGAGAATACAAAAAAAAGATTCAATAATGTTGTTGAGATTTTGACACCCTCCATTTATAATGGTTCGCTAGTACAAGAACTAGCTTTAGTGCCATTGTCAGAAACAGATAAAGAGGGCATCATACTAAAATATGGTAGTATGAACTTGGCACTTGAAGCTAGAAAAGATTTAATGGTCATGATGAAAGCTGTCTTTCCGATAGGAGATAATGTGAATAAGAACATCTCTGAAGACGTAGAAATGGTAGATGCGTTTCCTAGAACTCAACTTATATTATCGGCCTGGCAACTGATTGAAGAAAACTATCCTCTGCCTCTGAAAGGCAAATTGAAAAATGCTTATAGTGACTATGTGATGTCAAAAGATGAATATCTGCCTGTCACAAGCAATTCACCAATGTTTGGACTGGATTGCGAGATGTGTCTAACAAATGCAGGATCTGAACTAACTCGAGTTTCTATCGTTAATGAAAAACATGAAACAATTTATGAGTCGTTTGTGAAACCTTACAATGATATTACAGATTATTTAACACGGTATTCAGGAATAACAAAGTCAATATTAAACGACGTAACTAAGCGATTGGAAGATGTTCAGAAGGAAATTAAAGATATATTACCTCCTGATGCTATTCTAGTTGGTCAGTCGTTAAATATAGACTTACATGCTTTAAAAATGATGCATCCTTACATAATAGATACTAGTTTGATATTCAATTTTACTGGAGAAAGAACACGAAAACCAAAACTAAAAACTTTAGCGCGAGAATTTCTTAAAGTAGATATTCAATCTGGTAATAATGGCCATTGTTCTGTTGAAGATTCGCTAGCGTCACTTAAATTAGTACAACTGAAACTCAGTAAAAGTTTAGAATATGGCGATGCAGTACATACGAACCGGCAGGGATATAAAGAAAATATAATAAAAAAAATCTCGAAAACTCCTGAACTTGCTTTGTCAATATTTAATCATATGATAGAGCAAAGAAAAACATCATTAATTGTTGGATGTGATGATATAACCGGTGACTACCATTCTTATTTAACGCAAGCAAAGGAAAGCGTTATATCGCAATTGAAGAAAGGAAAACCCAAGAAAGTTAAATTGAGTACAGTTGATAGTGTCGAAGATGTTGTTTCGACCTTAGTAGATGCCATCAAAGAATATAACTTCGCTATGGCCCACTTAAAGCTGGAAGTAAATAGTGATACCGAAACAGACCAGATGCAGAAAGTAGATAAATGGATTGAAACGATATGGAGCAGTATTCCTGAAAACGCTATGTATGTTGTCGTGTTTGGCGGAACATTGAGTGATAACGGAGTGGCAATGATAAAGGTGAAAAGTCATTTATAGTAAAAAATAAGGTTGATTTCGTAGCTGACTCCACATAGCAGCAGCCGATGACAATATTTCGTGACGACACTGACTACACTGAATATCTTTTTCTTAAAGTATGTAATAGTTTTTTTTCTATGAAAATTAAAATCGCAGCTACGGTTGTACATATGGAATATTACGAAACTACATGATTTCGAAAGTTTTTGTGCTCAAAGTATTAGTTTCTAATATTTCATGGCGAACACATAAAAACCAGTGCGTCGCGTCGCGTCGCGGCGACATAAATCTGCCGCTGCTGCGTAGAATCGGCTACGAACGTGTACCTACTTCCCGGTTTCTGAATTGATATTTCAAACTTGGAACGTGGTCATCAAGTGCTACTCAAGGATTAACTTAATATGAAACTTTATAAGAAGATGAGCATGTTCACGCCAAAAAATTTCAATTTAAGAACCAATCCTTAGTTTCAAAGTATTTTTAAGAAACCAGTTCATTGGTTATTTATAAAAATGTTTATTATTTCTTAAGATAAAAATGTTACTATTCCATAGAGAAAATCACGAAATGTCAATAAAAATTTAAATATTTTGTTGATTTGTTTTACTCTCTTGTACAATTTTGCAAGATGTTGACGATTCATAAGAATGTAGAAGAAACTTCACATTATTATTATAATTATAACGTATACATAATAATATAACACAGGCTTTAATAACATAAACAGACTTACTCGTATATCTGTATTATGTAGATTATAATTTATAATCTTCACGCGATATAGAATTAAAAAAAAAAACTGTACAATCAATCAATATCTTTCCTCAAGTGATTTCTCTCAATTCCAAATCTACGCACGCTACTATAAGTAGCTCGGATTAGTTATTATTATTAACTAGCGGCCGCCCGCAACTTCGTACGCGTGGATCCCGTTTTACCCCCTTCATCTATCTTACGCGGTTTAGATTTTTTCATACAAATGTTTTTTCCCGCTAACTCCCGTTCCCGTTGGAATTTCGCAATATCCTGTTGTAACTAAGCTTTAAGTTTACTAAGGGACCTGCATGCCAAATTTCAAGCGTCTAACTTAAGCGGTTTAGATTTTTCATACAAAAGGATTTTCCCGCTAATGCCCGTTCCCGTGGGAATTCCTAAGTATTCTATAACCTGCCCAGGAGTATGAAGAATAATTGTACCAAGTTTCGTTAAAATCCGTCGAGTAGTTTTTGTTTCTATAAGGAACATACAGACAGACAGACAGACAAAAATTTTACTGATTGCATTTTTGGCATCAGTATCGATCACTTATCACCCCCTGATAGTTATTTTGAAAATATATTTCATGTACCTACAGAATTGACCTCTCTACAGATTTATTATAAGTATAGATGAATATATTGATTTCATATTCATTCCTTTATTTTCGTGACAGTGATTTCGCCAGCTCTTATGTACACTGAAGCTGAAGTGTAACGTGTGACGCCTACCTAAATAATATATTAATTTAATTTTAAAATGGTGTGTGTGGCCTGACCTGACATAAGTTTCTCAAAAATAATTTTAACTTGTCCATTAATAATAAATAATAATAATACTGATGGATATTTTCCTTATTTGTTTTTAATAAATTGTCAGCATGAATATTAAAACACTGATAAATAATTAAGTAATAAAATGCTTCAATAGCACGAATATTTATTTAGACAGTGCGTAAATTTGTCCAGTTAATGGGTCCACCGTAAGTGAGGGAGGCAGTTCTGCCGCGATGTCCGCTAGGGCTTCCCACCGCGTGGCGCGACTGCTAGTTGACTGACTGGGACTCGACTCTCCTTCCGGAGGTTCCTCTCTGTTGCAAGCATAAAGTAACGGATTAGGCGGTGCAGATGGTTATAAAAAAACAAGTGAATAATATCTAGTGACACTTAAAACTCACTTTAATGGTTGGTCACTGGGTTCACTCTCACATTCTACAATTCTCTCTGGCGTTTTGTTGAATTCTTCAACATTTGTGTTTTCAACTATAGTAACGTCTGTTTCAGCAGGTATTTCGGGAACTTCTTGCGTTCTTTTTTCCAAAATATTTGCTGCATGTAACTCTACTACTTTTTCCACTACATCTTCTAAAGAAGACAATTTTTGTTCCGTTTCGAAATTTTCATTTTCTTTGGCTTCAGTTTCATTATCTATCACACCCTCGCCGTTTGTAGGAATATCTGGAAACATTGTAATTATTGAAACCAGCAAGCTATCCCAACCCCTATCAGAATGGAATTAATTTACCTAAAAGGTTCATGCTACACATCTTGTGAGTAGGTAGGGTAAACCAGAGAGTGATTGCCCACTGGTAGTGATTGCCCGCTTTAAGAATAATATTGTCAGGTGCTGACTTTGAATCACTCTAGTTAGATTTGAATTTACTAGGTAGATGACTCCGAGATCAATGTACAGTAGATTTAAAATTTACAATAGGAAACACTAAAAAAAAACAGTTATGGCGGATTTTGTCAAGACGGGTGAAAATGTTACTCAAACAGGTAAAGACCTTAACAATTTTACTAAGGAATTACTTGCTTAGAGGTTAAAATTTTTTTGCAAGTTATTTAATATTCAACTAATGGTGTATAGTCATGATGAAATTATAAGTGTTTTCTCCATTACCAATGAAAATAACTGATAAAATTTGATTTCTAACGGTCATTTTAACGGTGGGTAATCACTGCACGTAAATCTGTATATTTTTAGTTATTGCCCACCATCATTTCAGTTATTGCCATATGTTAATGTATAGTTATTGCCCAGGGCAATTATTATTAGAGTGTTGACACCATGCAGTAGCAGTGTTTAAGTTGCTCATTGCTAGACTTGTTTTGCAATTTACAGGCATAAATATTGAAATGGCTTTTATTGTTTCATTTTCAGTATGCCAAAGACTCCAAAAGTTCAATATAGCATAGAAAATTTGCAAAAAGCGATCGAAGCTGTACAAGATGTATCCAACAATTTATCTACAAGATAAATTGCTGAAAAATATGGTTTGGCTTGAAAACATTGATAAAAATTCAAACGCAAATACAAAAAATGAAAATCCTACGTTAAATCTACTAGTGAAAATGTTAATTTTAAGGAAATAGATACAACTTTAGGGAAGAATAACCAACAGCTAATTGAACATTCTGAGCAACCACTTGAACTGATATCAAAGAAGATAAAAAAATAAACACATATAAAATTCAAATTTTTGCGTCATCTATGTTTTGAAGTACCTAGATGATTTAGTCTCTGCCGATTCTGACTCATCAACATCAGCTCAAGAAATATTTGATAATATGTTAATAAGGCCAAACGCAATTTATTTTGAAATTTTGTAGACTGTACTACTAGAATTTAAGTTTAATGTTTTGTTTTGTTTATTTAAAGCCTATTTTGTCATTTTCAAATTGATTATTTTGTTCTAAGATACTGGGCAATTACTGTGCTTTGATGTGGGCAATTAGTGTAAGTAATGGGCAATGACTGTACTTTTTTGAGGATTTTAAATTTATTTCAATATTTTCTAAGTTACGTAAGTTTTAACTAAAAACTGTTAATATTCTGTTTAACAGTTTATTGAGTTATAAGAAAAAAGTCATAAATGGTCGATAATTAAAATACTTTCTTAAATTTTTCATTTCAATGTGTTTGAAATCTTTAAGTGGGCAATAGCTATACGGTTTACCCTACATAAATCTGTGCTGCTCAAAAGTCCCTTATTAAATCTTTCATCACACATTCAATTTAGGTAGTCAGCATTTGAAATAGGTAGGTACTTTACTAAACTACATGTGCGTGTTTTATAGGTAAGTATTCATCAGTTCGCCAAAACTTACTGTTTGAATTAGGTTAGTATCTATAATTTTCTCAATTATTTGTTCACCTACCTACTCGTATACTGCTTATACTTGATCATTTATTATTTTATACTAGCTTTCCGCTCGCGGCTTCACCCGGAGTTTTCGCGATTCATTTTTATCATAGACTAGCGGCCGCCCGCGACTTCGTACGCGTGGACCCCGTTTTACCCTTAGGGGTGAAGTTTCGAGTTTTTTAGGGTTTACCCGGAAATTATTCAAACTTTTCTCTCTGTAAAAACCATCCTTGGACTTCAACAAACATTAAAAAAAAAAGAATTGGTAAAATTGGTCCAGGCGTTGTTGAGTTATACGCTTAGCAACACATTTTGCGATTCATTTTTATATTATAGATTTTATATTAAATATAATTTGATTTGTAATAGTTTAAATTGTCATTAATTAGTAGATCCTCCACTCCACTCTTGTAATTGCAGTGCTTGACAGGGTCCATAATGATCTGTCGATTACGCAAATTTTTAACATCTCCAATACATACGCGCTTCTCCAGTTGCGCTCCGTTTTTAATTCCAGATGAGGTGCAAATTCGGTATCACGGTAATGGATGTACCTTCCTAGTATTTTCTTTGTCACATGAGATATTTAGCTTTACGTTTACGTCTATGCTTCGTTTCACGGATTTGTCAAAACAGCTGATGTTCGTTCATCGTCCGGGCACGTTGAAGCATTGAAGTAATTATACGCCAGGAATATTAGTTCAATGCGTTGAAGATGAAAATTTTTAGCGTAATCGGGGCATTCGGGGCCCTGTTTAGCTTTAAGCCTTATCTACCCTATGTTACATTATGCTGATGCAAATAAATAGTTAGTTTAAATTACGCACCTAATAGTTAAATACCTACAACCTACTTAAATAATTAAATACTACTAAATTGTTTCCTTTGCAGTTTAGACAAAATGCCGCCTTTTAATTAAAAAACTAACCATTTATAAATAATCGCTTCGACCTTGACTCAACGCTTAAAGACGATTTATCAAATTGTGGTTAAAAATTGTGACAGATCGTGAGTACCTACCTTTTTCGAGGACCTTCCAATCTCAAGGCACGTCACGGCACTCACGGCAAACCTTGAGTAAGTTTCGAAACAATTATTTTTAAATAACACATTACTCCCACTAATTTTACTAATGTTTAAAACAACATTATACTTAAACACACATTTTAAGTATAACTATGAGGATTTAAAGGATTATTACACATAACACTAATAAAAAACGTAGAAAATAGGTGTAAATATTACTATTGTCAAGAATTCCTGGCATTATGCACGGTCCGTGGGGCTGAGTTTAAACTAAGCTTTTATTCGAGACCAGCTTTGTTTACATTGTTTCATACCTCATGTCATGCAAATATGCAGGGTACTGTATAATTTATTTGCATAGTTATTATAGGCACAATAAATTTCTGCAACATGTATGTTTATTATGATGAAATATATTTTGAATAGCTTTCCGCCCGTGGCTTCGCCCGCGTGGAATTTTGTCTGTCACAGAAAAACTTTATCGCGCGCGTCCCTGTTTCAAAAACTGGGATAAAAACTATCCTATGTTCTTTCCCGGGACTCAAACTATCTCTATGCCAAATTTCATCAAAATCGGTTGCGAGGTTTAAGCGGGAAAGCGTAACAGACAGACAGACAGACAGACAGACAGACAGACAGAGTTACTTTCGCATTTATAATATTAGTTGGGATTTTGGTTAAGAACTCAACGGACTTGCCTTGGTATAAGTGTAACGCTCAATTCTAATGTATACGGTCAACATACACGAACGAAAATAATTACAAAATTCAACTACGTAATTACTTATGAGCAAGGGTCGTCCTAACCACATAGGTAATTTAGCAAACTATGTTTAGCTATCATCAGGGGGTTAAAGAATGTTGAGACTTTTGTTTAACCCTTATTCAAATAAAGGTAAATATATTACCACTTTGTTTACTTTTAAATAAGAATCCTAATTTTCGATATGGTAATACTTAAAGATATCTTGGTCACTTATTTATATTTTTAAATATATTTTTTTACTTATCTATGCCATTTTACAACTTTTCAACGTCATTTGTCACTGTCAGGTAATGTCAAAGTCAACCAAACGGTTTTGGTGTGAAAAATTTCAAGTTTTTAGCGCTCGTTTTGGTATTTTTGAAACTTTGTTCAATGAAAATTCTGATAAGTGTTTTTTGGATTCAAATTCCTAAACTATAACATTTATTGTATAATCTCACTTATAGGCAACGTCTGCAATTGATTTATTCATATAATTTAGACATTTTAAAGAAGTGGTAAATAGTTTACCATTGTCCGATCCCGTCTTGACAAAAGTTTGATGATATATAAAAAAACTGCTGTTTTTTGTATGTGCACAAAAAAAACTAAATAAATATTTGGAGAAATTTTAAGTTATTTTGATATCTATTTACGTAACGTCAAAACGTTACGTAATAAGTGAATTGTTAGTTTCAGACTCAAGGTAAGCATCCTAATTGTAAGCATAATAAGTAATATTAATAAATATAAAAACAATATATTTGTTTCATTCCCAAAATATTTAATAAAATATAGGTAGAACCAAGAGGAAGTCACTAGTCAAGAACCAAAAATAAACCAAAACGGACAATGGTAACTATTTTACCACCAACATTTAATAATTCGTAGTCATGAATGGATAATGGTAAATTATTTACCACCCAAAAAACTACCCCTTCCCCTATTTTTTTATAAATTTTGATCAAAAATATGAAATAAGTGACCCACAATTATCCAAAATCCACTTCAACTTTGTAAAAAAAATGCATACCAGCTCGCGTTTGAATAAGGGTTAATTTGTAGTCGTAACTGTGGTACCTATATTTTCTGGAAACCTATCGTTTTTTAAATAAATAAAACATTATTTGCCTAATTTATATTTTTACTTTATTTTTTCTACTCGTCATAGTAGGTACTTCACTCAATATAGCCTACTTAGTATTATACTTAATCATAGATGCGTCGTTGACTTTAACTTCGTCTACTTTAACAAACATTTTTATTAAGTAGGTTAGGTATACCTATAATTTTGTTATAATACAAGTTTTTCAAACTTAAAAATACAATATTCACTTTGAAAAAGATAAGTCATCGAGTTACCTAGTGTTACTTAGTTTTTTACCCTTCGTTATATTCAGATTCCAAAAATAGTTAAGTTCAAGTGCTAACACATCGAGAACATGCAACTTTGGTAAGGTGATTAAATTCAATTGTGTCTTAGTACATAAAATATAAGTAGGTGTGGCTGTCAAAATGCAAATTATTAACATAGAGAATAAAAGTAACATGCTTAAAATTTAACACAGTTGATTTTATCGTAGATATAATTAAATCGGTGCAGACACAGAAAGCAAAAAAATACATGCTTTGATTAATTTTGCGTTATATATCTTTTGAAGTGAGTATAAAGTGATTAAATAATACACTGTAAATAAATTAACACTGAAATGTATCAAAATATTCCTTAACGGTCCAGGAGTACCTTCATCCATGTCCAATTTGGACGTATCTATAATTGATTTATTATTACTATCTAATTGTATAGGATCGGCTAAAGTATCACACGGAAGCACCTTTATTTCATTTTTCCCATTTTCTTCGTCTGTGGAAATAACATTGACATCATCCTTTATTGGCAGTTCACCTTCATCACTGAACTCTATTATTTTTTCTGAAAATGAATTTGTATAATTTAGAATTAAGTAATCAAGTAAAAATAAAACCTACATTAGGTGTACACAATCTGTAGTTTAACGTGCGTGACACAAATGCCTGTAATTTTAAGAGTCGTTACTTATTTGACTCAAAACGTCTACTTAATAAATAGTATTTAATTACCCGAAAACAATAACCATGAACACGGCGAACCTATACATCTATGTTAAGCGTCGTTAGTTAGTTTTCGCGTCATACAACGGCTACCAAATCGCTTGATCTGAGTTGATTGCGGATTTTAAGTATTCGTATAAAAAGTATTGGCCCATTATCATTAGCCAAAATATAAGATTAAAATTGACTAAGGGCTGATTTTTCAATCGTCAGATATCTTTTATCTGAAGAATAAACTTGTCATTTTGACATATTTCCCATACCGAAACTGTCAATGTATCAAACTTATTCTTCAGATAAAAGTTAAACGATGATTGAAAAATCTGCCCTTAGGGCTGATTTTTCAACCGTCGGATAACTTTTAACTGAAGAATAAGTTTGGCACATTGACAGTTTTAGTACGGGAAATATGTCAAAATGACAAGGTTATTCTTCAGTTAAAAAATATCTGACGATTGAAAAATCAGCCCTTAATTGAGTATTGTAACTTGAAAACTAGATATGGGAGATGAACTTGTATGTTCGTATGTCAGTGTCATAGAAATACCTGTAGCGTTATGATTTGTTGTGGTCATATTTGGTGCGCTGCTGGTACAGCCCATGGTGCATGGAATCAATTCACTCAATGGCCATTTGTTGTTAAATTGTATCTTTGTAGGCGAAAGCAGATGATGTAGTTTTGTGGCGCGAATGTTTTTCGATATCAAGCAGCGAGGCGTTGGCCGCAGCCAGTGTCCAACCGGCCGCACCAACGTCGCTCGACTGGACGGCCCGAGATCGTATCGTGGCTACCTATTAGTGGAGGAGGGAGTCCACTCAACTGACCTCGCACCCCCATCGCGTTTTTCCAATTAAACGGACGTAGTACATTCCATTACTCTGACGCGCATAATTTTAGTAAGACCTTTCTTTATTCCATTTCACGGATTTTTGTGTTGTGTAAGGAAGCATACTTTTGGTTGGTACTTGGTATAAGTATTGAAAATGGGAATAAATCGTACTAAATCTAAATTAAAAGTCGCCTAATAACGTTTCTAAATCGTGTTCTACAACACATCTACGTACTGCTATATAATAATATAAATGTTTCTTTTAATTAACACGGCAATGCTAATTTCACCAATCATTTCGTACTCAACATTTATATTTATGATCATAATTAGATTAGCAAGTTGTTAAATAGCTGTTGCACAGAACTTTGGGCTCGCTGCCAACTTCCATCGGGCCTGTCAAGAGTGAGTAGGTACCTATTACCTACCTGTATGAAAACTGTTTTGTTCTGTTTTTATTAACTTGTAAGTAAAGAAGCTTACAAGTAATAGACCAGACATGTATGTAACACGTATACCTAATAAAATAAATATGTAAGAGTTCAGCCGTTAATATCTATTGTCTACATCGATCTTCGTAATTTAAAGGCAATTTCTTACATGGTGTTTGCATGCCTACATAATAATTTTCAAGAGTACTTACGTGAATTTAAAAAAAATCTCCATATTATCTAAGATTAATAACGTTAAAAAGTAAAAACGTATTCTCTTTTGTTATTTGTATTGGCTAACATTTGTTTACTTTCCTACTAAAGAAATAAAATTGGGTTCAGTTCCTGTGCGTGGATCAGAACCCATACTTAAATCAAACTTAACAGCATGCGAAAGCTCTTTGTTCTCAATACAACAGTTCATAGTTCACGCAATAGCTTGACTGCCTACCTTATAAATTATACCGTCCCCGCCCTAGCGGCCACCCAGCCACTGTTCTCACGGATTTCATGACCACCCAACCCGCTCTAGGTCACAGTTTAAAACAATGTCTTATTTTAGACTCATGCCTACCTCGCTAAATTGCATCAAGTACAAACAAACACTTATGAACGTACATAATTTGTCTTTTATTCCACTTTAATGTTTTGAAAACAAACTGATTGCATCTAATTCTAATTAAGAGCTAACAACCTGCTAAACAAACACCTTTTGCTCCTCACACGCACTTTTCCGTTCAATGTGAAAAATTGAGTTCGCAAGGGTCTACGACCTAGTTAAAATGAAAATAATCTTAGTTTCTGCCCAATTTCGGGTCAAAGGCTCTTGTAGGAAAATAAAGAGAGCTAGACAGTTTTCGTGACTTTAAGCGGTAGGTTCCTACGTTGATGTGGGGGTTGAAAGGCCGATAGCAACCGCTTAGTGATAAATAATTTCTTTTAATACTTTGATTCCGAGATTTTGTTATTTGGGGAAAAACGTACCCACCCCGAGGGCTAGTTTTTTTTATTAAGTAGTACCTACATACCTACTACGGCAGAAAAGTTTTCGAGTGACGACCACGATCCGGGAGACGTAGTGTGGGCAGGCCTCCCACTAGGTGGACCGACGATCTGGCGATATCGCGGGAGGTGCCTGGAAGCGGGCGGCGCAGGACCGGTCTTTGTGGAAATCCTTGGGGGAGGCCTTTTTCCAGCAGTGGCCGTCATTCGGCTGAAAGGAATGTACCTAAGTATCCTACCTACTCGCCTTGTTAAAATTAGGGTCCGTGGCCGAGTCCCCCAGTGTTCGACGCACACGTGGTCGACGCCCCCGATTTAAATTAATTTAATTTCATATTTTTTTCGGCTTTTGCACAGTCAACGAAAACTAATGAAAAAACAATGATTTTGCATGTTTACTGTTGTTATACTAAAAAGTAAAAGATGTGATTTAATTCCTATTAATTTGTTATTTTTGTTATTATTACAAAAATAAAATGTTGTAGTACTTGTAGTTAATTTTTTGTTATAAATACTTAAAACTTATATAATTTAAACTTTTATTTGTAGTTAGTTAAATGTAGAGAGAGTAGAAAGCCCACGCCCATTTTTGTGCCTGACTGTACATTTAATTAAAAATTGCTTAAAATCAAATTTCACTGACCGGGGGCGTCGACCACGGGTGCGTCGAAAACTGGGGGACTCGGCCACGGACCCTAAAATTAGTCAATGTTCTGCATTTAACAAAGGAAAAAAGCAATTCGAAAAAAAATCTATTAAATCGACTTTAACATAATTATCATTTTTGCACATCCTGTTAGGAAATTAGGCTAATGTCTGTATGTAGCCGTCTATAGGTGTAGTTAGTGAGAAATAAAACCATGTGATTTTAAAATTGTATATTACGAGAGGATATAAATACATTGAGAAAATTACAGACAGGCACAAACTTATTTGTTTCTGGAATTATTGATTTTTGCATATAATTTGTTGGTTCCACATTAAAAACACCGGACAAAGTTATCTAAGTACGTGCGCACGGACAAGGTCCTGCTTCTGCTACCACCAGGTCGCCGCTTAGGGCGATTGCTTCGATCTCCACCGCGGCGCCAAGCGGCAACTTTCCTACTTGATAGGTGGCGCGAGCCGGGCAGTCTTTAGGGAAATCTGGAAATCGCAAATTGCGAATCATCATGTCAACAGCATTTAGAAATGACTAATCTTAGATTAAACATAATTCGTATATCGGCATTCAACAGTCGTAACTTAGACAATGTTCCATGCTCCTATTCTGGTGATAGATCGTGAATGTGATTATTATGTACCTACAATCCTACATACTGCTCAAGCTTTTAACACTGCGGGATCTTATTCAGTTATAATACGGGCGAATTCGAAATAAAAATGTAAAGTCAGATAAGCTGTTGTCAGTATTTAGGTACAGATAATCGGATCGTGGAATTATTTTTTAATTCAATGATTTTCGCGAATGAAAGATCCGCTAGATGGCGGGACGTAGATGTGGGGTCTGACTGCTGCGTGATTGGTGGATTTTGACATATCTGTCAATGTCATGTCAAAAATAACCAATCATGCAGCATTTGGACCTCGCGTCTACGTATTGCCATCTGGCGGATTTTTCATTCGCGAAAACCCTCATTGCGGTCAAATGACATAGAAATCCAAAAACTAGTCTTTAGAGGCAGAGAAAGCTGAACAATAGTTATATCCTAAGTTATATCTATCAATATCAAAAACAATACTTGTCAAAAAAACCAAGTCTCGCAACTCAGTTGTTCTACGGTAAAAAGTTGTGAGATCCATGTAATACCAAGTCCAGGCCAGTAACTAAATAATTTAATTTACACGTGTTTTCATGCGTTGGCCAAGTCAATATATTTATGTAAAACGTTAAAGATTTCCTGGCCTGGACTTGGTATTACATGGATCTCACAACTTTTTACCGTAGAACAACTGAGTTGCGAGACTTAGTTTTTTTGACAAGTATTGTTTTTGATGGGATCTCATTTCTTTTTGTATTTTATAGACAGCAGTTATGTATGTAGAAAACTGGACCGAAATTGAAAAATTTTACTCGACTTGGCGGTTGCACTACCGTGCCCCCAAATATTTTAGTTTTTCCTTGATTCATACACCAAACACTACTTATATTCCAAATTTGAAGCTTCTAGGTCTGCTAGAAGTGCCTTAGAGTTTTGATGATCGGTGAGTCAGTGAGTGAGTCAGTCAGTGAGTCAGTGAGTGACAAAATTAAGTAACTTTGACCCGTTATAATTCTTAAACTACTGGTTCAAATTGAATGAAATTTTAAATATACCGTGTCTTTACAATGCCTGCATAGCTAATGAAAATTCAGCCTTCTAGTTTTATCCACAACGAAGTTACAGGCAGTCGAAAATGGCCTGAATTGCTTCGAGAAAAGGATGGTACGGCCGTGCCGCTTTTTTGCTCGACTTGGTGGGGGCACTGCGTGCCCCCAGATATAAACGTCGATTTGGTTAAGCCAACCTGCCAGAGGTTAAGAATCAACTGATAATTTTCTTATCATCCAGCTATCGGGACTGGCTAGGCAATAATGCAACCTCGTATTAAAAGAAAATGTAGAACTTACATTCAGCGTAAACCTGGTTTACAGCTTGGAAATCGTCCATATTCCCAAGTAATATAGTTGTTTTCACAACGGACTCGAGTGAAGCTCCACCCGCTTCGAGCACATGTCGGAGGTTATCGAGAGCCTGTCGGGTCTGGGCCTCGGCACCACCACACACCAACTGGGCCTCAGGGTCCATCCCCAGCACACCAGACACATACAAAGTCTTGTCTGCTAAAATTGCTTGACTAAAAAAATAAATGAAACGATATAGAAAGAGGCAAACCATGTTTAATAAAACAAGGTAAATACTTGGCATTAGTTCATAAATTCGGAAATATTCTTGCCAACTTCAAATCAAAATCTAAAATAATTATCATTACAGTATAAAACAAAGTCTCTTTCCGCTGTCTGTCCTTAAAAGTATGCTTATTATCTTTAAAACTATGCAACAGATTTTGATGGTTTTTTTTATTAGATAGAGTGATTCAAGAGGATGGTTTTTAAGTATAATAGTGCGAAGCAGGGGCGGGTCGCTAGTAAAATATAAAGCCTACAAAGAATAAAAACCTACGAAAGATACGAATTATATTATTCACCTGTATGGTCCCACTGGTTTATAAATATTCGGAGATGTAACAATAGTTTTTGTCACTTTATGAACATTTGTTTTTGATGTGGTATTCTTTGGTATATTCATTTTAGATATCACGTCTGTCTTTGGCTTCGATGCGATAGCTTCTGTGCTCATGTTTAATTTATTTCAATACTATTTACCGAATTAACTAATGGAAGGTCAATAGTTCACGATGTCCGCGCGTTACTATTTATGTATCTCGATGATAAGGTATCACAAGTTCCATTGGTTATTTTATTCTACTTATGAATTTGCTCATGACTTGTACTTTATAATTTATTTTAATTCTACAAATTACATTTCACTGTGCTGTGAACAGACTTTAATTGACTTTTAATTTATCATGTTTTGTGACAATGTCAGACTATTTTTTTTTTAAAAAGACCTCTGGGTCTAGACAAAGTGCAAATTATAATCGCAAACCAGTCGAAAAGTGGTCGAAAAGCCCCTTTTTTGTATGGAGTTTTGACGGATTCGATTTTCGATTCGATCAAAAAGTGCGTTTTGTCTAAGGGGGCTCGTTTAGAGACAAAAATTAAAGAAAAAGCTTACTGAAAAGATTTCAAAAATTAGGTTTTATTTTCATAAACTATCATAAAATACCCCGTGCACGTTAATTTTTGTGTCCAGTTGCTTCCACTTCACACCGCACGGTTCGGTTTCCTCCTGCCTGTGATGGTTTTATACCGCGATACCGGTATCGGTAAGCGCAGCATCTTACTCAAGTTCAAATGATCAACTCTGCATTTGTTCACAATGAAGACTGGCTATCTTAGGTACTGTTAGACTTACGACAAGTCCTGCTGCCAACCAAACCAAGAAAATGTTGCTCCCACTGGGAACTGAACCTGGGAACTCTGGGTCTTGTTGAGGCAGGTGGTCTTACCACTAGACTAATGCGGTTAATCTCAAAACGAGCAAGAATTTAGAACTTGATGCCATGTTGTTCGATTCCCAGTGGGGGAAAGGTCGGTAGGAAACTAGAAGATGGTGATTGGTGGTGGTAGCACTGGTACCAACAAAATCTGACTCCACTGGAAATCGAACCCGGGACCCGCGGGTCTGAAAGACTAGACCACAGAGACGGTCGGCGTCAAATAAATCACTTTCAAACGTAATCATCCACTTACCACCAATATTGGTACCATTTGAAAGCCTAGTTCTAAACTTCATTAATTCATTGAAGGAAAGGTGAAACCCCAAAAATGTGTCTTTAGAAGTATCCAGATTCCCTTCTTAAAGCGACAGGTAGTTACGCTTGAGCTAACATTTATGGCTATAAAACTGTTAAATTGGGATTAATCGCTATCCATCTGTTAAAGAGGACACTGACACGTGAGATTATTATTTGGTTTTATAACCACAAAAATTGGTCTAATATAATAGGCTAGATGACAAAATTTAAATTATTTGTCCGTCAGACAGCTAATTAGAAAATATTAGACTTATATTTTTTATTTTCTTTCATAATTAAATAATAACAGTGCTACATCGAGTTGAAATGGTGCGATACGTCACGCCTGAGTAGAATTTTTACTCAAAAGTGACGTCACGCGACGTTTCAACTTAATTATAATACTGTAATTATTCGATTATGGAAAAAATTAAAAAATATGAGTCTAATATTTTCTAATTATATTATCTGTCTGACGGACTAAATAGAATTTCGATTTCATTACCCAGTCATCATCCCTATCTATTGGTCCTAGAGGTGAGCCCCAAGTCACATTTATGGTTCCTGTTAATTGTTTATAAAAAATTAAATGTATTTTTCTTTAAGTTTATTTATTGGGCGTTCAAATAACACCAATATTGTTGGGGCACCATGATTGTGTCAGAAGAAAATTTTTAGTTATTGTCGCGGGAGGTGCGATTTATTTGACGCAGTGTAGTTTGGTTAGAAAGTTCTAGTTGACAGAAATTATTTCTAAAATAGAGCAAGTTTTAGTTCTCTATGAGAACCTCCTGTTCTCAATTAATTATACAGGGTGTTTGGCGGAAGGTTAGACAAACTTCGTGGGTGTATAGGTAAGGTCATTTTAAGAATACAAGTTCGCCCATTTGACCCTAAGTGAGCTACTTTTTTTTAATTGATATTTTTGTTTTTTGTTATTTTTTTTATTATTATTCCATTTTCATTCATAAACTTTGAATTTTGGACGAATTTCAATATCTAATTACTACATGTGATATATCGTTGGAAAGAAGAGAAGCTAGATATATTTTTAAGATCATTGGCAATCCATTATCACCATTCTTTTTTTTTTAAATCTAATTCTAAGTTGATTTTTTTATCGTGGTTTGTACTTTTGTTTAACTTTGGCGGCTCGTAACTAGGTATCCAATCATTATTTGGATTTGAAATTTATTTTATTTGATTAAAGACATATTCGATATTAATATCAAATAAAAAAATAGGTTGAAATCACGCGAGAAAAAAAATTTAAGCAGTTTTAAGGTCAAATTTCGGAAAAAAATAACAAAAAATCAATTAAAAAAAAGTAGCTCACTTAGGGTCAATAGGGCGAACTTGTATTCTTAATAATTATGACCTTACCTATCCACCCACGAAGTTTGTCTAACCTTCCGCCAAACACCCTGTATAAGTCGGTATTTTTGTAACTTTGCGGATCAAGTGATGATGGTTTAAAAAGGCTCATCTTAATTAATGAAAACAGTTATAAGTTTCAACTCTTTATTCCCATTAAATTCTACTGTAAAATATGTTACAATCTGCACAAATAATAAGTAACTAAATATAGCTTTGATTTATCCGAAAACTACGTAAATCTATTAGATGTAATATTAATATATTAAATCGCCAAGACGATATTTAAGTTCATAATGTTACAATAATATAGGTACTTCAATATCATTTGTAATCAATACGATAAAAAATAAAGTATCGTGCTACAAGTAGGTAATCTTTTTAGTACCTAATGTTTTGTGATGCAATTATTTAGTAGCTGGCAAAGTTTTGTCTATAAAGGCCCTCATATCTTTAAGTTCTGCTTCTGAAGAACTGTGAGTAAGTCCTTGGTATGTTGTAAATTCTATATTCTTCATAAAAGTCTTGAGGAATGAAGCCGTCATTTGTCCCCATTTGAATGGGACAACTGGATCACAATCGCCATGTGCTTGAAATATCTGGAAATAATAAAACTTTTTATTTTTAGAAAGGCAGAATAGACTAAAATATTTATATAATAAATATCCTTAGACATTTTACACTGCGCTTCTAGTCCCAAACTAAGCACAGCTTGTACTATGGGTACTAGCAACGGATATAAACATACTTAAATACTTTTTTTTTGTAAATACATAGTTATTATACATAGAAAACACCCAGTCCAATACTTGACAAACAAATATGTTCATGCATACAAATGTTTGTACTGTGCGGGAATCGAACCCGCTACCTCCGGAACAGTAGTCCGTTTCGAACCACTACACCAAACGGCCGACAAAATATGTCTTAATAAATAAACTAAGCGAAAATGGATTTATCAAATTACCAGCTTTAGTCATATTATTATAGTTTTTTCAAAGTTCGTTTTGAACCGACATAAGTTTAGACCAAACTTGCCGAAATAATTGTCTAGTCTATCTAACCTTATTACATAATTGCTAGACCGGGCCAATGTAGACAAAACATCTTATTTGGACCTAATCGTTTTGGGCCAGAAAACAATCTCTAATACAGTTTCAAACCAACAACAAGTACTTCGAAGCCACGATAGCCGAACGGTGAAGGGGTCGGACTGGCCGACTTGTGATCCGGGGAACGCGGGTTCCGTCCCGCACGACTATTGTGGTAAGCTAATGAGCTTGCGTACGAATGCGTGGTACAAGCATATTTAGCTTAGTACGAGGGGCTAACGGTTTATTAGTAACTAGCCTTCCGCCCGCGGCTTCGCCCGCGTGGAATTATCACAGTCACAGAAAACCTTTATCGCGCGCGTCCCTGTTTCAAAAACCGGGATAAAAACTATCCTATGTCCTTTCCCGCGACTCTAACTATCTCTATGCCAAATTTCATCAACATCATAGCGTAGCAGACGTAGAATGGACATCGTCCATATTTCCCGTATTTAGGGTTACTGCACATGTAAGTTCTACACGGCCTTTCTACATAGCCTTTTTCATTGCAGTCAAGCGTATTTTGCCTCATTAGCCTTTGAACACCTTTTATTTGTCGCCATTTATTGGTGACTAATCAAGTGATGCTCTTATTAGTTATCATTATCATAAAAATAGTATCGAGCGCTTCTTTAGCAAACGTGAAGTAGTTTATAATTTGCACAATGGCAGTCAGTTTCAGAAATCTATTAATAAATGTGACCCCTGGTAATGTCACTTGAAAAATGCAAATGAAATCGAGGGCACTGTCCTTATCGTCCTGTCATTTTCATACATTTAATCATTACTATGCAGTATTCAAATTAAACAATAGGTGCTTTTTGAATAAGTTTGTAACATACACTCAACAGCTCTCATGGAGATTTCCGTTATATTTTGAAACTTGCTGTACCCGCGAATTTGTACGCGAGAAAATATATTTTGTTTATTGTTCCGCCCCTATTAACTGTAGGGTGGTAAAAGGCCTAAAGCCTTCTTCAACAAATGGGCTATTCAATACAAAATAATTCTTCAAATCGGACCAGCAGTTGCTTAGCATTTAGCGCGTTCAAGCAAACAAACTCTAAGCTTTATAATATTATAATAAAACAAATATAATAAAATAATAAATAATAATAAGTATAGATGTGGATTTAATTTTGTAGAGCACTCCACGGTATTTTTGGTAGACACTATTTCACTGCAGGTATTGCCTAACTCCCATTACTAATAACGGTTATTCGCGCGTTATGAGTGTTACCTTTTATCTTCATTGCTTACATCGTTAATAGTGTTATGCTGGATTTACACTATGCGGAAATTAGCCGAGTCAAGTAAAAAAAAACAGAGGAGTGGGGATGAAATTCATTCATATTTCATCCCCACTCCTCTGTTTTTTTGCAGCATTAAGTAATGTTTACATACCGGTAAGTCTAATGGCGCCTTCACACCGTCTGGGAAATGAGCATGTCTTGGCAACCAACAGGACAATGACATGACACCAGCCAAACTCTCTGGATATGTCAAGGCGGAATGTAGGGCCAACGCTCCTCCTTGAGAGAACCCCCCAACCAAGATACGATTAGCTGGAATACCACCCTGAAAAACACAAAACATCCTGAACACTAGGACAGATTACCATTATTATTTTTACAGCCGGATGTCGTAGTG